GGTGGATCAGGACTAGGTCTGGGAGTGAGGGCCTGGTGAGGCTAGCCTGCTCTGGAATGGCTCTGCAGCTCACAGCCAAGGCCTGCAGGTGCCCTGGCCTGAGTTCGAAAAGCCAGGTTGGCTGGCAGGAGTCGTCCAGAAGAGGCAGGTAACAGGGTGGGACAAAGGGCCAGGTGAGGGAGGCCGGCGTCCGAGGTGCGAGGCTCATCCGCTGTTCTATGTGGAGACACGGGACAAGGAGGGAGTGTTATAAGGACAGTGATGAGCCACATGGGTCCAGGAGGTGGTGGCAGCATGAGGCAGAGGATGGCTTTGGCAAACTTCCTGGAGGAGGAGAACCTAGGCAGAGCCTCTGGCCAGTGGACATCACGCCCCAAATATGGCCCAGCGGTCAGGCCCCATCCCTGTAGCTCCTGCACACCCCCGTTCATCCTTGCACCAGGGCCCTAAGTTTAGGCATCAGCCCCCTTTGCCAGAAACGAGGAGGCTCAGAGGGGTGGCAGGCCAAGCCCCTGGCTGCGGGGCGATAGAAGGCAGAGCACGGGTTCCAGTCCAGGTCTGCTGGACTCCAAATCCTTCCAAGGTGCTACCTACCCTCCCATGGGGAGAGACGGGGTGCGTCCCAGGCAACGTCCAGACTTGCAGGTATTGAGCATGGACGGGCTCAAGGGCCAAACCCTCCCTCCACACTCCCCTTGCCACCACAGCCAGGTCAGGCCAGTGCAGAGCCAGCTCTGGGCGTGACCTGACGGACCAAGCCCACCTGCATGTCGAGTTTTGCCACAAGGCTCCCACGGCCCCAGCTCGCTCTAAAGCTCCAAGGTCCAGGCTCTGGGCTGGAGAGAAGACCTCCAAGGCCCAGGCTCTGGAGCTGAGCCAAGAGCGGTGGAGCAGTACATGAGGGACTGCTGCGGGAGGCCTTGGGCCTTCTGGAGAACAGCAGAAGCAGCAGCACCCACGCCAAGCCGGGGTCTGCAGCAGAGCCACTCTGTAACTTTGGCCGGGCAGGTTAATTATCAGAGGGGTACAGCGGCTAGGACAGCAGCAGCTTCCAGTAGAGTGTTCTGCTGTAGAAGGTTCCAGATCCTGCAGACCTAGAGTGGGTAGCTTTGCCACCACCGCTACAGTGAGAACCTTGGTTAACAACCACTTGCTATTTGTCACCAATTGGATGGAATCACACGCTGCTTCAAACTCTCCATGCGAAGCTGCCCACAGCCCTTAGGACAAAAGCCCAGGTCCCATCAGGCCACAAGGCCTGTGCCATCTGTCTTGTACATTGCCACTGTCCCTTGATCACGGCCCTCCTCCTGTCACAGGCCTAGGCACACACTGCTGCTGCTCCTGAAGCAGCTGGGCCAGCACTGGCACCCAGAACCTGATCTGTAACACCGTGCTCTAGGGCTGCCGGAGCCCGCGATACCAGCCAGCAGGGGACCCCAGGCCGGGACCCGTGTTCCCAGCTCTGATTCCTCATTTGTCAAGTGGGGGAAACCCATTCACCTGCGGGATTGCCGTGAGTGCCACACCTCGGCATGGCAGTGCACCTCGGCCCGGCGACCCCTGAGCCTGTGAGGTTTTGCTGTCCATCCTGGAATGCCCACCATGGCTCTTGCCGAGGTCCAACCTGGGCCACCAAGCATCTCCCTGCTCGCTATCAGTGGGCTCCCCCTTCTCAGTCCCTGCCCCCTACCCGAGTGGACCCCACCACCTGACCTGAGGGCACCGTCTGGCGATGACGCTGGAAACACAAACTCCAACTCGACGGCAGGCTTTGCACATCAGCAAAGGGCAAGCCGGTGACCCTCAGAGGCCCTGGGTGGTTCCTGGAAAAGGGCTTACCTAAGCTGCAGGGTAAACAGACTTCGGCCCAGACCCCCAGTCCCAGGGGAGAGGCTGCACCCCGCAGGGGTCTGGGCGAGCAGCCAGAGTCACATTCCTTCTGAGCACGGATGGCCAACGTCACCCACTGCCAGCACTGGGGGCCTCACCCCTGCCCAGCCCACTGCCACCCGTGGCTGCCCACAGGGACCGTGCTGCTGCCTTTCAGACCCACGAGCTCCATTAGATCTGGGGTCTACCCAATGGCAAGCCCCACCGTGCCAGGCCGCCTCCTCCAACGCCCTGCTTCCCTTCCTCTGCGTCTCAGCTCCCAAGGCCTCAGGTCGTCCCGGCTGCACTGGCCAGTGGGCAGGTGGGTACACGCAGGAGAGGCCAGCAGAACAGGGTGGACTTTCCAGACCCGCCTTTTAGCCTAGGCCTTGAGTGGGCCTCAGACCCTCACCATGAGGTGGGCAGTAATACCCACCTCCCAGGACTTGGTCAAGGCAGGAAATGGGCAGCACCAGCCACCAGATGGGACCACGCCCGGAGCTACACAGGCAGTGGGTGACTTTCCAGATCACCCATTGGTCCCCCAGGTTACAGGCTCACCCTTCCCCTGCCTGAGTGACAGCTCCACCATGCGTGTTGCCATGTCCGATCCGTGCTGGAGGACTGAGGGGCAGGGGATGGACAGACTTTCTAGAGCTGGTGGTGGGGGGACTGTGACAGGCTGGGTGTATGACAAGGTCTTCACAGCCTTTGTCATCTCTCATCTGAAAGTAGTTTTCCCAAAGAGCCTGCCGTGCCCAGGGCCGGCAAGTGCACAGCCGCTTGTGACCAAGAAGGGTAGGGTGGCAAACGTCCTCTGCTCCCTGCCACCTTCAGGGTGCCCAGGGAGGCCGGCTGAGAGCCTTGTTCAAAAGTGCCCCCTCATGACACGCAAGAGCACGTTTTCTCTCCCTAATACCGCGGGAGCCCTGGAGCCCCGGGATGCGCCTGCAAGCACCCCACTGCTCTGTCCTCGCCTTGACGATTTTGCTAGTCTCTCTGGAGCCTGGCGGAACTGGTGGCTGGCAGACCATGGCTGAGCGTCTGGGGAGGAGCCACACACCTGTATGTGGACTCTCCCTCCTGGAGCATCTGGGGCAGGGGGTTGTCATGAGGATGGAGCCCCTACCTGCAGCCCACACCTAGCACACGCCCACCGTGGGCTCCAGCCCATGAGATCTAGGACGGGGATCCCACCACCTGATAAATGGAAACATGCAAATATTGCTACCGCTAGTTCTCAAGTGCAAGGAAAGTGGGGCTTGCAGGTAGCGGGAAGGTCGTGTGGGCGCCTGGAGGATAGGGCAAAGTTCGCCACAGGTCCAGGCTCCAGGGCGAGGGTGAGTTACGGAGTCTCAGGGGCCTGGTCTTCATTTGTGTTGAAGCTGTGAGTCTCCCAGAGCAGGTCCTCCTGGGTGCTCGCGACCACAAATCGCACAGCGGCCGCAGCAGTGGGAGGGCCGAGAGGAGGGCTGGCACAGCACACACTGGTTCCCAAAGGAGGGGCGCCCTGGCGTGCTCGCACCGCGGGGCCGTGTGCATTCTGCGCGGCGAGCCCTGCGGCGCAAACAGAGCGGCTTTGCTGCGCTCTGCCCCGCTCCTCGCCATTGGCTGCCTGGCCGCGCGACCTCCCCCGGCACTGGCAGAGCCCGGAGTCTTGGCTGGGCACAAAATCAGCCCCCCACCCCCAGCGCGCAGAGGGCGGGCATAGCTCTCGGCAGCCAGGGGTGGGTGGGGTGG